CACAGTGTAATAGAGTCTATTGAATAAACAAACTAAATAGAGGACAGACGTAAACAATTAAATAAGCACTAAGTTCAGTAGATAATTACAATGTAGATGATCTGGTTTAATTATCAATAATTAACAAAAAGTTTAACTAACAAACATAGTATACATAAAGAATAATCATTTGTCATACCGATAAAAAAGAAAAGAGTCCATCATCTTTAGTTCTAAATTTGTTTCTAACTATAAAAATGATATAGATCTTTATTTTAGTTCAAAAGATTTTTTGATCAATTATATTTCAAGTATAAAAAAATATGGGAGAATAACAAATAAAGACCATAAAAATTACACATACAGTATTTTAACAAGTTTTGACAACTTATAAATAACAATATATTTTTGTAAATATGTTTAGTTTTAAATTTTACAATTTTCACGTTTTTTTGGTTATTTTTTCCCACAACTATAATGATTCTTTTTTTTTTTTGTGAATGCTATCTATGTGAACGGTTGGAATAAGTAAAATTAAGATTATGCTATGTCTAAAATGTTAGGGTTTCTTTTTTTTAAGTTAAGAAAAAAATATAAAAATTAAAAAAAATTTGGCGGGCCTAAACGGGCCGGCCCGCGGCCCTACAGGGCCAGCCCGTTTATTTTTCGGCCCTACAGGGCTGACCCTTTTAAGCCCGACTTCCCTTTCAAGACTACAAAATACAAGCCCGGCCCTCGATTTAAACGGGCTTAAACGGGCCGGCCCAACGGGCTCGGCCCGTTTTCCCGGCTCTACTAGCATTAGTTCTGGCTGAATATGGAAAGGGCAGAGCCTGAACTCGTTCAAAGCCGTGAATGTCTTTCCATAGTATACGGGTAAATTAGATAATTTTATACTGTTCATAGTATATTGATAAAAACGGCAGCGCTCTCTGCTTGAGTTTCTTTCTCTTGGAATTTGTGCTGCTTGATTTCTGCTCCTGTGGCTGTGGGTGAACATTGCTGCCGGAAAGTTCCGCCTGATGGATTCCTAGAAGAGGGGATGCCAATAGTCGACGTTAAGAAATCCAAAAAGGAGTTAAAGGAGGATACTATTATGTCAGGCAAGATGGAAGATGCTAAGGGATGTCATGCTCATGAGGTTTCTTCGACCTCTAATGCAACGAGTAAGGGCACTAGCCATCCACCTTCCTACAAAGATTCCCTTCTGGGGGCAAAAGGCAAGATTTTAATGGGTAGCGTTAGGGGATCCTGCTATGGAAGAAGACCCACTACTTACTGATTTACTTGACCAGATGTGGAATATTTCAGAACCCTCTGAGGATATTAAGAAGTTAATGAATATCTACCCGGTTGTGCCTTGCACAAAGGACGAATTCAATGAATGCTATGAGCCCTAGAACAATGCTTTAATTATTACAATTTTGGGAGCTCGCTTTAATGTTTATAAGTTGAAAGAACTGTTATGTCGTATCTGGAGCTCTTGTGAGGGTGATTTTGAACTTATCGATGTGCCAAACAACTATTATGTTGTTCATTTTAAAATGGATGAAACATGGGGAAACAAATATAAGCGTGTGCTTTTTGAAGGTCCTTGGGTTGTTGCTCAACATAGTGTGCTAGTGCAAAGGTGGTCTCCATATTTTGATCCGTTTCATAATCTCCTTGGTCGTATAGCGACATGGGTTAGATTCCAAATATACCTCTGCACCGCTACTCCAATGAAGTGCATTTGGAGATTGGGTGATATGATTAGGAAGACCATTAAGTCGACATGAATACTATAGCAGACATTGAAGCTAACAGAGCAAAAGTTCAGAGAGGAAGGTTTGCTAGGATTTGTGTGGAGATTGATCTACAGAGAAAATTGGTACCAAGGGTCATCTGCACATCAGCACTGTATAATGTAGAATATGAAGGGCTAGGGCTTATTTGCGTCTCTTGTGGGAGATATGGTCACCAAAAGGAAGCTTGTCCATGGAAAGTCAGCCCTGGGGCAGCAAAATCGTCCGATATGGGCTCCACACCAAAATCCCAGCCGCCAAGTAACTCATTGAAAAATCTTCCTAAGGTGGAGGACGACAAATTTGGCCTACGGATGTTTGTCGAAGGGCCAACTCCGTGTGGCTCTACGCCTGAACATAGAGACAGGTTTGCTAAGAATGGGTATGGGGGGAAGATAAAGAAGAAAGGTGTTCCTCATCCTTTTTTATCTAAGTTTGATGTAATAGTAGAGTTGGGAGGAGACAAATGAGCGTCTGACCACTGAGACAGATGTGACCGAGGTAGCTCTAGTGGGAGAAAAAGCGATAGTTGTCTATGAGGGGGGGGAAGCAAGGTCAGAGTACGAAAGTGACAACGTACTATACAAGAGGAGGTCTTAAAATTAGAAAGGGACAGAAGGCTAGGGTTCAAGTTACGGGACCAGGTAAGGTGAATATTAAGCCCACGAACTCAGAGACCCAAAGACATGGCTTATCAGACAAAGCCCATCCAAATGGGAAAGCGTCAGTCTCAAACTGCGTAGAGAATATGGGCCAAGTAACGGTAGTAATAGACAACACTATGTTGTGGTTGGAGAAGTTCAATCATCAGAGCCCACATTGACCATGAGCAACGGAGGCCCAAATGAGAGAGAGAATTGTGAGGAGTCAATTGGACCTTCCTCTCTGGTTATTGCTCCAAGCAACATGAGCCAGACAACTACGGATCCCAATGCAGCTTTATTAAAGCAGGATCAAGGGAAAAATCGTGGGAAGGAGCCGATCTCTAGTATGCAGGGCGGATTGAATGAAGCAAACGCGATAGGGAGTGAATTCAAGGAACAAGTAGGAGGAAGCTTTAATGATAAAGATAAACCATCAGATCAGAATGGTTGAGGTGGAATGTCACTAACTCCCCAGGTGCGAGAATGGTTAAAAGATGCCGCTGGGTCAAAGTTTTTGGTAGTCTATGCTGGATGATCTGGAAGAATAGGTGTAAAATGAGCTTTGAGGGGACTTGCAAGCCACCACCAAATTTGATTCACCACTGCTTATATCAGCTGAGAGAGGGAGTTGAAGAGGGTAGATTCAAGCGTAAGATTTTGTAGGAGGAAGATAGAGAGATGGTCAAGTGGAAACTACCTTGGGTTGGTTATGTTCGTGTGGATGTCGATGGCTCAGTTTTTTGTCAAAACAATGCTACTTGTGGAGGAGTTGTGAGAGATGACCGAGGGAATTGGCTTAGGGGATTTCAACAAGACCTAGGCTATGCCTCATCCACTGCAGTGGAACTTATAGCTATCAACAGGGTCTGAAAATGTGTAAGGAAATAAACTTTCCACGGGTTCAGTTGTTTTCAGACTCTCTGGAAGCTATCCAATTATTACTGATAGATAGTAGAGATGGACACCCATTAAGCAGTGAAATATATAAAACCAGGTTGCTCATCTATTCCACGTGGGATGTTTAGTTATGTCATACATGCAGGGAAGCACTAAAATGTGCAGATCATCTTGCTTAGTCAGCTCAGGGACCAAGTAGATAGTTAAAATATCTTCTGAGCGTGGTGCAAGTTGCGCAGGATCTTTTGGAGGCCACTTTGGAGGGCTTTGACTAGATGTAACTTGGTTTTGTTTTACGTTCAAGCTTACCTTGCCTTGTTATAATAATAATAATAATAATAATAATAATAATATAATAATAATAATAATAATAGGATGATGACCCATCTTTGTTGAAGAACCAGGGCTTTAGGAAGTTCGAACACTTCTCAAGTCATCGTTACTTATCAGTTTAGTTATACAAATTTAAAACCCTTTCGGCATGAGTTGTTTGGATTAACTTAAAAAACAAAAAAGCATTGTTTCATTTTAAGAAATAAAATTGCTCTTGCATATTCACTTTACATAACTCAAAATCAATTTTACATTAGTAATCCAAACAGCAACAACAAGCCTTATCCCACTAGGTGAGGTTGGTTACATGAATCGCATGACTCCACTGTGCTCTATTAACAATCAAGTTCTTAGATATATTGTTGACCAGGAAGTCTCGTTCAATGACTTTATTGAACGGTCTTCTTAGTCTTTCTTTGTTCCTTTTTATAGAACTCTATATTGTCTGATATACTCTTCTTATTAGGGCCTCAAATGGTCTTCTCTGCCATTAATAATCCAAACGATGGGGAAAAAAGATTTTATACACTCACTTTGTAGGGTGTAAGAATGCCCTCTTGACAAATTTCTTGGCCAAGCGAAGTTGAAGGGTTTTGACTAAATGAGATGAATTTTGGGTCAAAATCTGGAATATAACTTATTTATTTCTTCTTACTTATTTTTCAGAGAGAAATATATATATTTTATACAAGATAAATATCTTTCATATATACATATAATATACAATTTTTTTTTAGAATTATAACAAGTATGTACTCCTAAAGCAGATATAAACTTGCTCATAATTTCATATCACGCGATTGAGTAACATATAATTTTACTAAATAGTAAAGATATAGCAATTATATTTAAATTATTGTTATTCTTGTAATTTTCAGATAAATATTAGCATAAAAAGGACATATTTGTGGAAGCGATCCGGGTGGTGTAAGAAATAAGAATTGTGTGGTTAGAGTGAGCCTGTGGTAAAGTTAAGACCAAAAACGGAAGGAAAGCAGCTCTTTCCAAATGTGATTTATCCCGTGTTGAGAATTTATATAAATCCTTCAGTGGGTTTTTATAATTTTTAAGATAAAATTACTTTCACATTTCTTTTATATCAGAATGTGTTTTTAACTAAAATTAATGGCTCTCCAAATACACATATTAACGCAAATGTGATCCTTTTTTTTGTTGAGACATTAATCCAACGATTCAAAATGCATGGGTTTGGTTCTTGTCATCCTCGTCCTCCGCCACCAGTTGTTTCAGTCTTTTGGCTATGCCTATTCTCGGTTCTCTGCGTTAAAAGCTCAAATATTCACAGGCCACGAGAAAATCTTTAGCATTTGTTTTCCATCAAAAGAAAACACATTAACATCTGAGTTCTGAAACCTCACCGCCATGAAAGCTGCCTCGGAAATCCGGCACGTGGCCGTTTTGGCGTTCCCATTCGGGACGCATTCAGTTCCTCTTCTGAACGTCATCCAAAGAATCGCATCTGATTCACCTGAAGTCATATTCTCATTCTTCTGCACCGCCCCTAATATTGCCAATATTGGTGCCTCCATATTCCTCAAGTTTCCCAACATAAAGCCTTATAACGTCCACGATGGCTTACCGACGGGTTATGTCCCTTCCGGCCATCCCCTGGAGCCGCTTCATTTGTTCCTCAGGGCCATGCCGGAGAACTACCGGCGAGCTATGGATCAGGCCGTTGCGGAGAAAGGCAGGAAGATCACGTGCATCGTCACAGATGCGTTTCTTTGGTTCGGCGCAGAAATGGCAGAGCAAATGCATGCCAAGTGGGTCCCTCTTTGGATGGCTGGCCCTCATGCTCTGTTAACTCACGTCGTCACCGACCTTCTTCGTGAAAAATTTCCTTGCGATGATGATGGTAACCGAAATTTTCAAACTCATCTCCAGATTCTCTTTTCTTTCGCATCCATCACAAATGTGAAATTAAAATGTTTACGGATCTGAATTTAATTGTTACCGACCTTACGATCCTATAAATTCCACGACAGTTTTGATTCTGTGGAAATTTTTCTTTCTTGAAGAAAGAGGATTCTAGACACGAAATTCATTACTGGTTATCCTTATTTTGATTCCATTAGTATTTGAACTGTGCAGTAAATAACACTCATTCTTGTTCTGGGTCTTATTTTCATTGCTTCAATATTTTCTTCATAATTTTGATTAGATTCCGATTATTGACTCGTTGTTTGATTTCAATGACGTGAAGCCTGTGCAGAACAAAGCTTGAGTTTCCTGCCGTGCTTTTCTTCAGTGAAGGTCAGGGACTTACCAGAAGGAATTGTGAGGGAAATAGACGAACCTTTTGCAGTTATGATCCACAAAGCAGGACAAATGCTTCCAAAAGCAACCACAGTAGCCATAAACTCATACGACACAATCCTCCCTCCCATTGTGAACGAGCTCAAACCAAACTTCAGAATGTTACTCAACATAGGACCCTTAGCTCTAACCACCCCAACCTGTGATCCCAGACAAACATGGCTGCCTTCAATGGCTTGACAAGCAAAAAACTGCATCAGTACTATATATTGCCTTTGGAAGTGTCATCTTACCCCCACCCCATGAACTATCTGCATTAGCACAAGCCTTGGAAGAAGGTAAGTTTCCATATATATGGTCATTTAGAGGCAGCCCTGAGAAACAATTACCAGAAGGATTCTTGAAAAGGACAGGAGAACAAGGGATTGTTGTTCCTTGGGCTCCTCAGTTAGACATCCTTAAACATGCGTCAACTGGTGTTTTTATGACGCATTGTGGCTGGAATTCGATCTTGGAGAGCATTGTAGGTGGTGTGCCCATGATTTACAGGCCGTTTTTTGGAGATCAGAGGTTGAACACTCTGATGTTGGAGGGGGAATGGGGGGTCGCCATGGCTGTTGACAATGGGGTTATTACTAAGAATGAGATTATCAGAGTTTTGGAATCAAGCTTGACAGGTGAAAAGGGGAAGATGATGCGCAGCAACGTTACGTCTTTGAAACAGTCCGCCATGAAAGCTATTGAGCCTAGTGGCAGCTCTACACAAAATTTTAGGACTTTGATTGACTTAGTCACAACTTAAAGTTGATTCAGGACATCCCAGTCCTAGAGCGGCGCGGAACCTCTCTGTTGCATGCCCTCTTCGTTGCGCCTCCATTTAATTGAAACGGCATCGTTTGCTTTTCCTTTTTCTTTTTGTTTTTTTTTTGAAAAAATGGCAGCTTTCATTTCCAGTCCCGTTCACCAGTCAGCATCCACCCCAAATTTGCTTCGACCTCTCCTTTTTTGCAGCTGAGCAAGAAATTCTGGGTTTTGTCTCCAAAAAATTTAGCAAGTCATGTGTGAGAAGAAATCATCGAAGAAGTTGCTCACTGGTTCACCAGTTGTGTTTGTTGGTTGCCTCTTCATTTGTTATATACCTCTGTTTTATAGTTTGTATGCAATCCTTTGTGTTTTTTTTGCAGGTTGTTTCTTATGATCGTTTAACCAGGAAAAGAAAGAATCATTTTATTTTATATCTTTGCTTGTCTCTTGCATGTTTCATCACCTTTGTCCTGGGCGATTTTTAGATGATCACTCGATATCAGTTGGCCTTTTTTTTTTTGGTAAATACAAGAGAAAACAAATTACATAGGCTAACTCTACTGATACTTCCCCTCTCCGTACTATCCCAGTGCAAGGTTTCTAACATTTCTATTGGGGGTTCTTCCACACGGCTTTCTGTTGTTCCTGAATCAGTCCCAATTTGGCTAATTGATCCGCCACTCTATTTGCCTCTCGAAATACATGCTTGATTTCTATCGTCCATTCTCTTTTCAGGAGTTCTTGTATTTCTGTTATCAGCACAGTTTGCACTTCCTTCCCCGAGGATTTGATGATCTTGTCCACTACTTCTTTTGCATCACTTTCTACCTCTATTTTCTTGAATCCCATCTCCCAGCATAGTTTAAGTCCTTTGTAGATCCCCCATCCTTCCGCCTCTCATGCACTGCAACTGCCTAGCGTTATGGAGAATCCTCGAAGCCATTCTCCCGTGTCTCCCCGAATTACTCCGCCACAGGCTACTCTGCCGTCCTGTTGTTGGGCTCCATCGATGTTCAGTTTACACCATCCCTTTGCAGGTAGTACCCACTTTACCTCTATCAACTTGTTGTTTCCACTTCCACCGCTTATTGAATGTTTCTTTGCATTGTAGTGCTTCAGGTACCCCCCCAGAATGTTTTTAAATTCCAAGGTATCTAGAAGTTCTCATCGTGTAGCAGGTGGTTCCTCCATCTCCATATGTGCCAGCAGACTACCGCAGACTGGTCTCTCCATTGTATCTCCTCTTCTGCATTCCATGGTTCATTTAAGTTCTGTTCTATCCATTCCTCCTCATTGCTTCCAAAGAATTCTGTTCTTTTTTCAGCTTGAATTATGCCTCTCCAAATTATTATGGCATAAGGGTAGTCTCTTAGTGCGTGTAGTTGTGTTTCTTCTCTGCTTGCAGAATGTGCAGTCACCTCGGTCTCCATCCCATTTACTTGTTCACTGTTTGGTGAGTAGTCTCTTATGATTCATTTACCACATGAATAGTCTTATTCTTTCTAGTACTTTAAGTCTCTAAATAGTCTTCCACAGCTTCTTTTTGTTTCTTCGTTTTGTGCATGCAAGTGTTTATAAGTACTTGCCATGGTAAATTGTCTCGTTGAGCTACATTTCCAAATGATCCTGTCTTTTCCCCTTTCTTCTTTTGGCGGTGCCATGGCATGAATTTTTGGAATAATTTCCATCGGGAGTATTGCCTCTAGGCTTCCCAGGCTTCGGCCCCCCGTCTCATTTACTAGTTCCTTAACCTTAAGTTTTGCATCTATTGCAGTTCCAGCAGGTATCTTCTTTACTAACGCTTGTTCATCCTGGATCCATCGGTCTTGCCATACCGTCTCCTCTCCATTTCTAATTTCCACCACCAGGTTCTCCCTGAAGCATTCCTCCATTTTTGCCATTTCTCTCCAGAGCCTTGAGTCGCTTGGTCTAGCTATGAGCCTTCTTTCACACTCTTCCTCTTTTCCATACTTTCCTTTTAGCACCTGCACTCACAAATCATTCTGTTGATTTTGCATTCTCCACAACAGTTTTAACAGGAACGAGTCATTCATTCCTCTAAGTGAGCGCATGTTTAATTCTCCCTCTTCTTTCTGTTTACACAGAGTTTCCTATGCAATGGCATGCCATTTCCGTTATCCCTCTTGTTCCCCCTAGATGAACTTCCTCTGTTCTTTTTCAATCTCCTTGATAATTCCTTGTGGTAATCTGTCATGTTGCCTCAGGTATAGTGGCATTGCATTAGTGACTGCTTTCACCAGTGTTACCCTCCCCCCTCCCCGCCATTGATAAGCTTGAAGCTTTCCATCCGTTCAGTCTTCTTCTCACTCATTAACAATGTTTTTATATTTGTCTTTTCTTCTTTTGGGGTGTACAATGTTTGCCCCCAAGTATCTTCCTATACCCTCCACCTCCTTGAAGCTGCTTCTTCTACATATTTCTCTTCTCATTTGCTTGTGAACATTTGTTGAGAAGTATATGTTTGTTTTCTTTCTCCTCGCTCACTTGTGTGTCCCGATACCTATCCAAAAACCTGTAGGCATTTCATCACAATATCTATCTGTTCAGTGCTCACTTCTGCAAAAAGAATAAGATCGTTAGCAAACATCATATGTGTTATTATTGGGCCTTTTCAGCTTGCTCTCATTCCTCTCCATTTTTTCTCTCTTAAATTGTCTAGGATAAGGTGCGTGAGTTTTTCCATGCCGAGAACAAAGAGGTAGGGAGAGAGAGGGTCTCCTTGTCTGAGTCCCCTTGAAGGATTGAATTCCTCCATCTTTTCACCATGCCAAAGTATACAGGTTGAGGGAGTGGTAACACACTCCATAATTCTGTCTATCATTGTGCCTGGACAGTTAATTCATTTATGACCCTTCTCAAGAATTTCAGTTTAGCCTATCATAGGCTTTTTCTAGGTCCACTTTAATTGCCATATAGCCTTTTTCCCCCTTTTTTTCCCTCTCATCGAGTGAACCATTTCATTCATTATGATCACATTATCATGAATGTTTCTTCCTGGGACAAAACTTACCTGGTGGGGTGACACCAGCTTTTGCATTAGTCCCTTGAGTTGCTTCACAATAATCTTTATTAGGCACTTATACACAACATTACAGAGTGAGATTGGACGGAATTGATTAACTTTCTTGGGTGCCTCCACCTTCAGAATCAGCGTGATGAGAGTTCTATTTAGTTCCTTAATCTTTATTGGTTGTTGCCACATTTCTTTCACCGCATAGCAAACACTGGTTTTCACCACTTCCCAATTTTTTTGGAAAAAAATTGCTGGATATCCATCTTCTCCTGGAGATTTAAGGCTTCTAATTCCAACATTGCTTCTTTCACATCTTCATCTGTGATTGCTTCTTCCAGACTTCTTATCTCTTCCTCATTCAGTCTTGCCCAAGCATTTATATATTTATCCATCTTCTTTGTTGCTCCTCCTCCTTAAATAATTGTTGGAAGAGAGTTAAATAGTTCTCCTGTTTTCTCCTTTCCTTCTATCCATACTCCTTGTTGATTTTTCAGCATATGTGCTTAGTTTCCTCTTCTTCTAATATTTGCCTTGGTATGATAATATGATGTGTTCCGATCTCCATCCTTCATCCATCTTGTTCGTGCCTTTTGGAACCAAAACAATTCTTCCTTTGCTAAAATTTCTGCGAGCTCATCCCTCAGGTAGTAATCCAGCTCCTCCAGGTATTTGCTTGGATTGTGCTGCATATGTTTTTGTACTTCGTTCAGTCTCCTTAGTAGCTCTTTTTTTTTGTCTTCCTATGTGCCCAAAGACATTTTTGTTCCACTACTGCAGTTTTCCTTCTAGGTTCCTTAATTCTCGTATGACGTTCCCTCTTTCTTCCTAATTTTCTTTCAGCATTTGTTTAAAGTTTGCATGTTGAAGCCAGATGGCCTCAAAGCGAAAGGGCCTGACATTTCTGCTGCATTGTTGGGTGTGTGATGTGTATCACCAAAGGATGATGATTCGACTGGAGTCTAGGCCCAATTTGTACCTGTGCTTCACAAAAGATGTTTCTCCAATCCGCATGGCATAGTACTCTGTCTAGTTTCTTATATAGTCTCCTTGCATGTCCAATGACAGGGCCTTTCCAAGTGTACTTAGGCCCCTCTGTGCTGACTTCTAGTAGGAGACATTCTTCTATGTTTTCACTGAATCTTCTCCACTTGGCATAGTTCTCCTGTCCTCCCCCTGTTTGTTCATCACTGTCTCTTATATCATTGTAATCTCCCGCCAACATCCAGGGTCTTGTAATTCTTTTTGCTATCTCTTTCAAATTCTCCCAGAGGTCCTTTCTTCTCTTTCCCTGGGGCTTGCATAGATTGCTGTAAACATCCACTTTCTAGCTCCAACTCCCTCCACTTCACAATGTATGTACTGTTTCTGCATTTCTATGGCATGAATTTTGATGTTGTCTTCATCCCATAGTATCCATATTCCCCCTAACATCCCGTTTGCCTCCCTTATTATCTGGTTTTTATATCCCAGTTTTTTTATTACTTTTTGCATCTTATCTCCTCTGCACCTGGTCTCTAATGAAACCACAATTCTCGGTTTGAATTTTTTCCTTAGTTCTTTGAAGGCCACACAAAAATCTTTTCCTGCTGCCCCTCGTACATTCCACGTAATAATCATTAAACAAGATTGAGAAGGCACTGCACACCTTAGCACTACTGTGAAGTGCCAGTCATTTCCACATCCACCTCATGGGGCCTTTCTTCTTCCTGCCACTTTAATTGCTTCTCCTCTTGGGCTCTAATGGAGCGTTCCACATCTAAAAGGCCTAAAGCACCGTCTTCCTCATTTGGGTTGGGGTTTAGCCTCATCTAGCTCCATTATAGCATTCACGTGGTCTGGTAGGCTGTCTAGGAAGTGCTCCATGATCGAGTCATCCATCCTTGGCCCATTTGCCGTATCTGGCCCATGCCTACTAGTGTTTACCAATTCCCCGCCCAATTCTTCTCCTGTTTCTGTTGTGTCACTTTTTTAAC